GTGATGTTAACAGCATAACACCGGGAATAACCTCACATAATGTATTACTGATGTAAGATAAAGTTTGGAGACATAATACCAAAATGGGATTCCCTTATCCAGGGCAAACTTTTTTAAATGATTTATCCTCAAAAGACACTCATTGGTGATCACTTAACGGCTGTCAATCACTTTTTTTTAAAGTACAAAAGTATAAAACATGTTAACAACATTCGATAAAAGTGATGCAAAAGAATGCGTGATCATCAGTGAGGCACAGCCTGTCTCTTTTTCAAGAGTGGACACCTTTGATCTTCTTTGATATCGCCTAGCTAAAAATCATAGTTGCAAGGGAAAAATATATGTATTAGTTCTACAAACTAGTGAAAGCCATAGCGAACAATGGCCGCTCGGAGACCCTTGCAATACTTGTTTATACCCTCTATATTGAGGTGACAACCATCACTCAAATACTTAGGGTACTTCACACGCTTCTGTGTGAACAGATACACGTTCTGACGTTCCGACCTAACTCTCCTACTGAAGAGTGAGTTGAACCTTCTCGTTCTATGATTGAAAGTCGTCACCGCGACCTGTCCAGATCTAGTGATTTTAGATTGTTGTATTATAGATACGAATACCACCTTTCGGGGTGATATCCCTCTACTTTCCAACAAATCTAGGAACTTAAAACTCTTCCCAACTAGAACCTCTGGCATAATCTCAGGGAGACAGAGATCATTTGTACCAATATCAAGTACCAAAACGTCAATGGAATTCAACAACCTCATCTTTTGGCAGTAATAATCAACATGATTAAATAGACGGTCATAACTCAAACCTGGATGACCCTCGACAGTCAAGTTAATTTCTGCAGCAAGCCCAAGTAATTCTCTCACGGACTGGTGTTCCTGACGGGCCATCCTATCAAGTCTTTTCACAAAAGAGTGCCCGAACAAATATACATTGAGCGGTTCAGACATTGCAAAGCCGTCGAAAAACAAACGAGAGCAAAATAACAAAGTAACAAGGGTACTTCGGAACTTAGTCTTAGGTGCTTAGTCTAAACTACATGTACCAATATAATACATGTATAACAAACTGAATGCAAAAATATACATACAGGCAAAATACATGTACTTTGGGCATACAATGTGCTCCACCTAGATCAAATTACATAATGTAA